CCGCCACATATTTCAGAATGTAATAGATATGGAGAATGACCGGACATAGTGTGTGGGCTAGAATCAGTATACAGGAAAGGATAGACATCGACGTCATTCTAACGGCACTCTCCCTGCAGTTGGACACAAAGATGATATTCTACATCCGATAGAAGGTGCAATCATTCAGACTAAACTTCTTTTTGTTTGATGACAGTGAGCGTCCACATCGAGTAAGAATCTTGAACAGGAAGCAATCGAAAGAGTGGACTGGCCAGTAAGATCCATCAGTATGAACCCTACTTGGAATGTTTAGGTCATGCTACAGACGGTGATAACAACCCATCCAGTGCAAGTAATCCAGAATTGCTGAGGAGTTTCAATACTTCCTTATCCAAGAATGAGCCCAGCTTCCAAAACAATTATACAGCATCTGATTAGTGGGATACACCGACGTTGTTAAAGTGTGATTGTCTCTTATGATATATATATAGTATTTATTATATCCAAACACTCAGAGAATGACTTTATAAAATCTTTGTTAATGACTTTGAATATCCATAAGACTTTGTTTATGAAGGTAGGGAAGCTTTTCGATGTTATTAGTGTCTCATTAATAACTTTATGAAACTTCCTTTTGTTGTGCATCATTTTTCACAAGCGAATCTTTCAGAAATGGCATAGTCTTCTCTTTGTTGAAAACTTTGGCCCTTATCAAAACTTGAGAAGAACAGAAGTTGAATACGTTATACTAAAACAAATTTGGAGCTTCACCACATCGTTACTGTCCATGTCCCCACGTGCTGTCATTCTCTCTTTAATGGCCATGCATCTTGACAATAGCCCTGGAGTGTAGTTTCCATTACAAAAGGCTCTGTCGTAAGTCTGTCATGTCGAAAGCACAGTACAACTTTCGGCACACTTTCCATGATACATCGAGTGTACGATACAGATGGTTTCCCAATGACTGGTTCATCTGATGATACAAATATCCATGGACGACTTGATTGGTTTGTCTTCGATTAGAATATCATGAATACTTGTTTCAGTCTCCATTTGCTTGAGGTATGTGACAATTGAACGTATATGTCGTGGTAGTAGTTTGTGTACACATGAGTTCTGTCACTTTTCCAGATGAAGATACTTCTTGATTGTGTTGCCTGGGAAACTTGGACGGATTTTGCCTCTGATAATTGTGATCGTTGATTCTCACCTATTACATAACATGATACTTTGTTTACCACGGGTGGATGTGATGTGTTGCAGGTCTCTTTCTGAATGGTTTCGATACCCCAGGTTGATCCATATTACTTTGTTTTCTTATCAAATACATCACAGTTACGATAGGCAAATAATGTCAAAATGTATTTAATAAATCTCATTCCACCACGACACTATATCGATTGTGGATGTCATATGACCTTTTGATTTTCATATTCGAAATCGTTTTAATATAACATATAATATAATTTATTTTGTCATACATAGAAATAACTTTATGTGATACTCATTAATTATATAGAACTTTCCAAACTTTTTTTTAATTTGGTAACATTTGGGGAATAGTTATGTGCAGGTGTTATTTTATGATTTTTCCTAATAGCTCCATTCTTTTTTCATTAGAGATTCGTTTTTCATGTCGTTAAAAATGTACATAGATTATGCTAATAGTTCCAGTAATTGTTCAAAATATCTGGATTTTTTCTCTGTGATTAAAATATCACGACTAACTAATTAATAAATTCACATTAGACAGACCAGCTTCCTAGTATATCATATCACCACCTGGTGGTAGATGTACTGTGGATATTCTCTCCCTTTTAAACAAAAGTAACAAGATACGTTTTTAGTGGAAGTTAAATCTCTTGGAATACTTAGTAACCTAAAATTTGAATTTTCAATCTAGACGGCTTCTTAGCTAAATGGCCAGGTCCGACCAGAGACTCCTAAAGTCCAGATATAACCGTCCTTAACTTTGAGCTAATGGCAAAGGGAATGCTGAAAATAACAGAAAACACGGACCTTGTCCCCCACCCCTTTCTCTCAGCGGTAAGTCTGAGGCTTTACAATGCTGAAAGTCAGGTTTTGATACCTGAAATAGGCAGAGCACAGATATCCCATTGTGTAGGTTTGTGCTTAACAAACAAACACTCACCCTATTTACACTGATTTTTTAATTGCTAAAAAAATAAACATCTTAGTCCAAAAATATTCAAATACGTCTCTTGCATAGCAAGAACAACACTTCATTGTTCAAAGGACACTCCAGTCAGATGAAGCCACTACGACAGTTACTTACTTGATGATGTTGCTAAAGATGATATGCACAACGGATTGTTATATATTTGTGGAACTGTTTGAGAAATCGTTCGTCGTACTGATGGGTATATTAACAGTTTCTATTTTATTAGTTGTTAGTGATGTTGGTCAGATAAAGGAATCTATAAACGTCTGTGAAAGATCTAAAAGAGGAAATATACAAAAGTAATAAATACGAAATCCGACTGAAAATTTCTCTCCCTGAACAGAAGCCCCCCAGTGGCACAGCGGTATGTCTGCTGACTTACAACGCTAGAATCCGGGTTTCAATACCCGTGGTAGCCCATTGTGTAGCTTTGTGTTTAATTACAAACAAACCTTCATTACAAACAAAACCTGAACATAAATCAAAAATGCTGTCAAACACCTAGAGTAAAAACCAATATTACAAACTATTATTCTGATAGCTGGGATAGGGTGGGAAATGATAGAATTTCAGATATAAACGATTAGATGTACACATGTAGTCATGCAGATGACAAAATTCTATGTCTGTCTTCTTCAGTCAGTAATTGATAAAGCCATGACGAGAATGAATAATTCGTTTCAAATGTGATAAACAAACCTCCAGTTCCAGATTCTCTACTGGATTTCTCGGTGTAGATGTCCGGAGTGCATGAAGATACTCGTACCCGGACAGAGCTGTCTTAGTGACAAAAACAGTTTTCCCCTAAATGAGGGTGGGCAATTTTTTTCATACATAGAGCACTTTTTGAGAGTGAGCCTAGCATGGCTCAGTGATAGCGTGTCGGGTTGTGGATCCGAGAAGCCATGGCTCGCTTCCTGTTTCCGCAACAACAAAGTTGCGCTCCGTAACCTGGGGTCTTAGGTACATTATAAGAAAGATGGTCAAATTCTACCATTCGATTAAAGTGTCACAAGAGATAGCGGTGGGTGCTGTTGAGTAGCCGTCCTCCCTCTAGTCTATCAGTTCAGAATTATGGATGTCTAATGAAGATATTCCATAGATTTGTGCGATTATCTAAAACAGTGTTTCTCTAACTAGAATCTACACCAATAAAAGCATTGTATATATACATGTATATGTGTGTGTGTGTGTACGGATATGCTTGTTGTGAATTGTTCATTCAGTAATTTCGGCTTTTTGAATTTTACACGACAATAAGTATAAAACTAACACCTACCAGTAAACTCTGTATAACAAAGAAAAACTTTAGTTTTTAGTTGGAAAGGGGTTTTTGGTTCTTATAAAATGTCTACTTAGTTCTTAATCAACCACAATTATTTTGACATAAATTTTGATATGGTTGTTTTTTATTTCTTTGTTGTTAAGCATAAAGTTACACAATGGGCTAGCTGAGCTCTGGCCCGCTCGAAACCCGACTTTAATGTAAAAAGCCCCCAGACTTACCGCTGAGCCACTTGGGGGTTGATCTGGTTGGAACAATAACTATACTTTTTTGTATCAATTCTTATTGGAATTTTCTGTTAAATGTCACATTTTTATGTCACCTACAATTGAAAAAACGTAACATAGCTTGTACTTATTCTCATAGTTTATGTAAAATTAGCTTTTAGCCTAATACAATCGTATCTGAGTATTTAATCCACATTTAAATATATGTTTTCCTCATTGCTCAATTTGTCAGTGATTCAATGATATAACAATAATTAAGGTAGCTTCTGCACCTATATCCGATAAGTTCACATGTGGTTTTATTGCCTAAACAATATCTAATATAATTTGAGAAAACTGTTTCCCGAGTGTCTCAGAGAAAATACTTATTATTCATTTGAGCACCAGAATTATTCTAAAAGTAAGTAGCAAAGCATTTTATTTAGATACATTATTTTAAACTGTATTGAAATTTTTAGTTTAGTTCTAAAGTTTAAGTATTTTGCATTTCCGGTGAGAACGTCAATTTTTAGCTGACAAAAAGGCTTAAAAAATCCAAAACCTGAAATATGATTACTGTTCTTTTATTTTCTAATTCCGAATTAAGCAGGTGAAGTTCTTTCTAATCAATGTCTTGGACTAATACATGTGATTAAGACTGATATTTCATACCAGGTTCTCTCTGAAAGACTTAGTAAAATATGTACTTTACGAAAAGCTGAATAAAATTCCTACATGTACACAACGTATAAATAGACGACGTATTGTTATATATAAAGTAAGGTTAGTATGATTAATACAAACTATGAAAATGCAAAAAAATAAAAAAATAATACTATCTGAAAAAAAGAGAAATACACTTATTCAAAATTTTCAATAATAAGTTGTCTGAAAGAAAATATTTTTAAACGCGAGATGAATTGGTTCACTGATTATACGGTTTTAAAACCGGACAACCCTTCTTGACAGTAACTAAAGGACTGTTCACACTTTAAATTGTTATATGATATATTACTGAACATTTAACTAACTTTATGTACAGCTAACTTATTCAGATTTTGGTCATTATAAATATATATATATATAGTTAAAACTTGTTTAACTAAAATGATCAAATACAAGGACAACTTATGCTGTGTGTAATTATGCAACAAAACATCCTGAAACAAAAACTGAGTCAAAACTTTAACGTCTATACCAAAAACATTCCTTAACTTTTCATTTTAACAGTTACATTTATAACATAATGTTAAGAACAGTTTGTCAAATTTGATCAATATATCTGTGGTGCCTTGTGACCGTTCAGAAAGTAGATTAATATTTAATGTGTACATACAAGCCTCACCTTACGTAGGGACGGGTCTCAGAGAAGTGCAACAGCATAATGACAACAACCAATAATGTAAGTTGTTTTTTAGACTCGGCATTCATTGTTATTTACACCTGTACGGTTGAAAAAAAATTCTATACTTATTAATATCTTTTAAGAAAATACACAGCCTGGAAATGCTCTCCTCTCAAAGTGTTGTAGGTGTCTTCCGTCGCCTTCTCTTAAAATCGTCTGGATACTATTTGCTGCTATTTTATGCCAGAAATGACATTTTCATAGCTGTCACTTCTCACTTATAACAAAGAGGGAGGAAAAGGTAACAACTCACTGCCCACGTTGGAATGCTTACGTTAACCAATCAGTGACTAGCAAAATTTGACGCAATAGCCTTTCATAAATGTGTAGGCATTCTAACATTTCCATTGGATAATACTTTGCTGCATACTTGGAGTGTGGTGAACTTAGCGTTAAAGCTTGGTTTCCGCTAACTATCAAAGTATTCTTTTAAAGAGAATTATCGGAACAGAATCGTAAAAATAGAATTCAATATTAAACAATAACATTATCATGGAAATAATCCCTGATTGCAAACTCTTTCGACAAAAGCAATTAAACGAAAATCTAAAGACATACACCTGGATAACGAAACTGCAATGTCTGTGTGATAAACCACAGTGAATATTTTGTGTGTGTGTGTGTAAACAGGAGTAATATCAGACAGTTCTCGAATGTGATAAAGTTTGGGTTAGAATGGCGTAAAAAATAAATATCGAAGCTTTCTTATGAAGATGTTGACGTAAAACATATCTAGAAAACAAATGTACTCAAAAATTAAAGGGGGTAAGATTTTATAGTTAAAGTTTTATTTCACTAGACAAACAACACAGTTGAAATTATAGCACTGTTTGTTCACTCAAATTCAAAATGGCCAGGGTATGTGCCTAATTGAATCAAGTTGTCTGGAAAAGTCACATTACGTAAAAAACGAGATGCTCAGTAACGAGTGTGGATTTCCCTGACATTGATGAATGTTTAAGTACACGAGGACACAGAACTGTTCTGTGGGATTAAAATTATAACTTCTTGCTAGTTAGCTTATGAGCCATGGTTTCGTGTTCAATATAATATTGGCATTATCTTGATTGAGGACTAAGTCTGTAACCGATTTTACTCTTGAATGTTTGTACAATTGGAGTAAATACACATCAAAATATGTAGGTCCATTCATAATGATGCCTCCCCTCACTATAACAGAACCGCTCCGAAACAATCGTATTCAAAGACGTAGGTAGTCTTGAGCATTAAAAATCGTCATCTGTTGCTACAAAATATGAAGCCTTGGCTCATCTATTAAGAGTTGAGGTTTCCAGCGGTGTCACTGTTCATCTTGTCGGTGTCTAAACTTTTTGTGCGATCTAACGGAATTCCTAAACGAAATTCTGTTGTCGTGAAGTCCATATTAAGTCAATGAACGACTGTGTGCCGATTTCTAACAGCTATATTTAGACCTGTGGAATAGGTGACTTTACACGAGCTTGTCTAGGCTGTGTAATGACCAAAATTATTGTCTAAGAACGTGTCCCCAAATTTCTGTCTGGTCATTGGTAAACTAAATCTGAACTATCACTTTTCTGTGTATTTGTCCAGTTTCCAATGTTTGAATAGCTTTGACAGTCTTCACTTTCGAAATAAGCCTCCAAGTAGGTAACAATGTTATTTGATTATACAGAAACAATAACCATGATTGAAAAGACAACCAAGACCAACCTTAAAACAACCAAATATGGAAAGAAAATGAGGCAATGCTTTTCCAGAACGGTAGCGATTGCAAAATTCGCCAACACAGCCGTGTTTGTGTGTGTGTGTATATATATATATATATATAGCTGTGTCTTGGAAACTAATTAAAATAAATGCATTGAAATGTGAGAATGTGTAATACTGCAAACCAAACAGACACCTACACAAGAACATTTTTATAATGAATTAGTTTATAAGAAATAAAGCACAACAGTTTATTTCTCTCTAGTAGTTTGTCGATTTTAAGTAGACTTTTTTTATACTAAAAGGTACAATATGACTTACACTGAATATGAATCAAGCTTCTAGGCCTAGTGACTTGTCCTCCAAAGACTTTGGGAAGCATAGCACGTCATGAACCCATGGATGATGGCAGATGACATTCATCTTCCTTATATCTTGACGGTTCAAAGGAGAAAATAAATTGAATCAAGTCTTGTTAGGGCTGTGTTGTCAACTCTCGGTTGTTTTGTACTTGAGTAAACAGATAACACAACTAATAGGACCTAATTTCTACCGTTTTCAACAACAATCTAATACGGATACAAAAATACGCAATTTTACAGATCAGATTATTTGAATCAAATCACTGAGTATATATAATAAAACCTTTTCCATTTTTATAGAGCAAACTAGCAATGTTGATTGAAAAATTATTAATCCTGCCAAATCTACTTATCACCCCCAAGAAAATAAACATTCCATCAACGAAGCTCTCCTTCGTGGAAAGTAGTTCTTTTTTTATGAAGTACAGTCATGCTATCTACACAAACGACGTTGTCATACTTCGAAAACAAACCTGTAAAAAAGAAGGAAAAAAAACTGTTTTCTTGATCCCTTTACGAACGAATTTCGATTACATCTTCACCAGGACACGACAAAGATTGTTAGGAAGACGATTAATCAGGTGACGACTGGGAGTTAATAACTTTATAGTAGGAGTGATATATCCGATCAGATATATATATATATATATGATTATCACTTTTCGTTAACTAGCAAATATTTGCCATAAAAACGAACATCAATACTGTTCAACTGCCTAGTTTTGTTTTCTATAGGGTTTGTTTCAGTTGACGAACTATCCTGGTTTTCAAATAGTTTCGAGCATTTTCTTTTCTTGAAAATAACACCTAATATAAACTATAACCTTTAATTTTTAAAGCTATATGTATTTTCAAATTGTCCTATAGAGGTACAGTATTTTATATTTTTTCTTAGAGAAGGAAAAATTCTTTTATGTCAAGATCCTTAAAAATGTTGACCAAATCCCAAACGAATATATAAGGACACGTTAAATACAATACGATGTTTCAATGTAATCTTAAAGCTCAGGAAGTTCCACATTTTTTTTAAATTAAAGCTTGAAAATAATCTTTCAGTTTCACTTTTAAACTATTCTTCACATATACTTTTCAGTCATGGGTTCCTAATTTCCGTCTTTAACATGGAGTTAAGTATTAGATATTGGATTATGGATCCCATATTTCTTTTCACTGTCATGTATTTGATCGCCAAACTTGTTTATAACCAGCTTTTTCATTGCATCTGTTTTTGAATTTCTCCAAATCCTCTCTAGATTTAGGTAAAACGTAAATAGTATGAAAAGGTCTAGGTAAAACAGAAACAATAGACCGATCCACTCACCCTAAACATAATCTGAGATCTAATCCAGACCTAGATAAAACAGAAACGATATACCGAACTATTCATTCTAATCATAATCTGAATTCTAATTCTCTCTAGACCAAAATAAAACCGAAACAATATACCGATTTACTCATCTTAATCGTAATTTTAATCCTAATCCTGTGAAGGCCTAGGTAAAACAGAAACAATATACCGATCTACTCACATTAAACATAACCTGAGACCTAATCCAGACCTAGTTATGGGAGAAAAAATATACCGATCTACTCATCCTAATCATAATCCTCTTTAAACCAAGATAATATACGAATTCACTCATTCTAAACATAATCAATACTAATTCCAAGAAGGTGTAGATAAAACAGAAACAACATACCGATCTATTCAACCTGAACATAATCTAGATCCTAATCTTATGAAGGCTCAGGTAAAACAGAAACACTATACCAGTCTACTCATCCTAATAATAGCCTGAAACCTAATCCATATCTAGGTAAAACAAAAAAGTTACACCGATCTACTCATCTTAATCATAATTTGAACCCTAATCCTTTCTAAGGTAAAGAAACAACAATATATCGACCTACTCACCTTAATCATAATCTGAATATTAATCCTATGAAGACTTAGGCATAACAAAAACTATATACCGATTTACTTATCCTAATCCTATGAAGGCCTTGGTAAAAAACAAAAAAAAACAATATAGAGTACTATTTTCGTACCTGAATCACAATCCTATGAGACCTAGATAAATCAGATATTATATGCTGATCTACACAACATAAACATAATTTGAATCTTAATCCTCTCATGGTCTAAGTAAAACGGGAAGAATATACCGATCTTCTTATCCTACATAACCTGAATCTTAGACCTATGAAAATCTAGGTAAAAGATAAACAAAATATGAAACACTAATCTTAAACATATCTGAATCCAAATCATATAAATACCAAGGTAAAACAAAAACAATTTGTCGACATAATCGTCCAAAACATAATCTGAATTCTATTCCTATGAATCATAGGTAAAATATCCAAGTTATATTTTCAACAGATTAAAAAAATATATAGGCCAATTTCCATACATTTTCCTGATAAAACGTATACTAATTACATTAGTGTACAAAGAACAAACTATATTTTAAAAATTTCCTGATCACCCTGTCGTAGAAGATTAAGCATGTTTTTCCTGAAATATTCTTATGGCTGAAATTATACACACAGTTTTAGTTTAATTTTAACTTTTCACATAGATTATAGTAGTCACGAGTTAAGGATAGGTCTCAAAGAAGACATATGAATGTTTCAGTCATGTCTTCCAGATGTCCAAGAAGTGCATTCTACTGACAATAAACAGGTTTTTAATTTATTGGAAAAGAGTTTTTAATTAATTCACGTTTGTTATGTTTATTAGCTTTCCAATTACTTTTTAGATCATTGACCTGTACGTATATCGTTAAGCACAACTAAAATTAGCAATTAGTTTGTTTTTTTATTTATATATTTGCGTTTTAAAGAACACGTTTTGTGTACCAGGTTTTACAAAACTGAAAACTGTTATCTAAACGTTCTGAACAGCTCATGATAATTAAACAGTAAATTGTACGATTAATCTAGATAAAACTAGGATAAAAATTACTCCTTTTTTAAATTTTTTATTTGAATAAGAATAGATTTGCATTGATGTATATACTGTTCTTTTCCATTGGGATTTCCTAAGTCTTCATCGAATTTAAACTTTTGTTTCACTTTTCGTTTCTTTTTGTTTAAAAAGTGGATCACATTCATTACGAATGCATCAGTCCAAATTCACGCTCAGTA